GCCGGTCTTGACGGTGGTTCGTGCTGCGGGGGGGGGGTGAAGGCTATCGAACAGTACTGCGACGAGACCAACGAAGCCCCCTGCATAATCGGAAGCCGCCCCGCACCCGGTGAGTTCAGAGCTCAGCACCACCCGGGGAACAAGCTAAGTGTGCTACTGTATGAGACTCTTTGGTTGTATAAGGCAAGTCTCTCTCGACTAACGGGGTGAGTCGAGAACTGAGGACATCATGACGGGGTTCAATTCGTGGGGTATGGTCACCACCTCCTTCATGTTACGGCACGATGTGTAGTGGGCAGTGTTGTTCCTATACTGATCTCTTGAATGCAAGTGTGCATTCATCATGACCCTTCTTTCCCGCTGCCGCGCATGCCCTCCGGCTCCACCCAAATCCCACGACACCGCCTTCGACCAATCCACTTAGTGGCCACAATTCCAACGCCATCGCCGATGGACCCTCCTACGCCGACTCCAAAAGCCGGTGAATGTTGTATTGGGCGTGACTATGCCGTACCTCACATGCCTACAAGCTTTTCTCTTGCTATTCTTCTTGTGGTTATAGGGTTAGGAGTTTTCGTATGACGTTCGTTACTATTATTATTCATAATTGCTGGGGTAATACAAAACTGACATTGTAGCCATTTGGCCGTCCTGGTCGCAATCATTGCGCGGACCGACGCCGTCGGATAAATCCCTGGTCCGACGATGAGCCGTCGTGAGACGCCCATGGGTCACCCCACGGGTCGCCCATGAGTTGCTCATGGCCGCCCATTGATCGTCAAGAGATATCGTTTACAACGATGTGTCCTGGTGGGTCCGTTTACCACAACATGTCCTGGTGGACTTTGAGTTTATGTGATGTCCTGTGGACGACCCATGGGTCATTATTGATATTGGCCGGCCCATATGTGGCCCATGGCCGGCCGGTAGGTGGTCCGTGGCCGGCCGGTAGGTGGTCCGTGGCCGGCCGGTAGGTGGTCCGTGGCCGGCCGGTAGGTGGTCCGTGGCCGGCCGGTAGGTGGTCCGTGGCCGGCCGGTAGGTGGTCCGTGGCCGGCCGGTAGGTGGTCCGTGGCCGGCCGGTAGGTGGTCCGTGGGTGGGCTATTGGTGGACCACGGCCCATGACAGGCTAGGCATGCCCCTTGGCCGACCGAGAACGAGCCCGTGGATCGCTGGCACTTACTTCTGGGTGGCTCATCGGCGGCCCATGGACACCGCACAACCTCCAATGGGAGGTCGGCGCAGCACCGTAGTACCAGTAAGGTCGCTGTTGCTTGTGTTGTTAGAAGAATAAACACGAACAGCAATCGTCATGCGCATCGGACACGGCATTGTCTGCGATGTTCTTGAAAGAAACACGCCTCTCTGTACCCTACCGTTGTCGGGACTACACAGACAACACTTGCAGCAACGGCCTCGAAGGCATCGACGGGAACGGCGTGGTATGCTGTCCGCTGGGCTGTGGCCAGTGCGGAGGATCGGGGTGCACCTCGTCTGGAGCTGCGGCCGGTCTTGACGGCAGTTCGTGCTGCGGGGGATCGATAAATGCTAGCGACGAATACTGCGACGAGACCAACGAAGCCCCGTGCATAATTGGAAGCCGCCCCACGCCCGGTGAGTTCAGACCTCAACACCACCCAGAGAACAAGCTATGGAAGTTTACCACTGTTTGAGACTATATAACGGAAGCCTCTCTCGACTAATTCGGCGAGTTCAGAACTGAGGACATCATGACGTACAGTAGTGGAGGTCGTCGGGTACAGTCACCACCTCCTACATGTTGCGAGACGAAGTGTTGCTGGGCAGACCGTACGAGCCTGCCCTACATAGATAGCCGCCCGCCCGAAGACCAGTAGCTTCCATGCTGATCTCTTGAATGCAAGTGGTCCGTGGGTGAACTATACGTCGACCATGGCCCATAACGGGCTAGGCACCCCCCGTTGCCTACCAACGAGGAGCCCGTTGGTCGTAGGCACTTACTTCTGGGTGGCTCATCGGCGACCCAGGGACACCCCACGACCTCTCGTAGGAGGTCAGCGCATGCACCGTACCAGCCGCTATTGCTGGTGTTGTTAGAAGTATGACAAATACGCACCGCACACGATGTTTTGCGGTGTTCTGAAAACATCTTTGTACTCTATCTACCGTTGCCGGGACCACACAGGCGAAACGTGCAGCAACGGCCTCGAAGGCATCGACGGGAACGGCGTTGTATGCTGTCCGCTGGGATGTGGCCGGTGCGGAGGGACGGGATGCACGACGTCTGGCGCCGCGGCCGGCCTTGGCCCCGAATCCTGCTGCGGGGGAGGGGTGAAGGCCGCAGGCGTATACTGCGACGAGACCAACGAAGCTCCTTGCATCATTTAGAAGCCCATGCAGCTGTATCTTGTACTGTACCACTTCTTCTGTAGAATGCTGAACCCGGTTGTCTGTTTGTATAGCGAATGAAAGACGCACAATTTAGCCAGTTAGAAAACTTACATCGTATTTTCGCGAGTTCCCTCGTTGTTCAGATGATTCATCAAGGTTAGGAGTTGGGGTCGTTAGTATTTTTTCTCTTGTTCGGTGTGGTGTTTTTTTTGCGTACAAATCAGCATGAGCATTTCTTCTTCGGCCACGTATGTATGTTAAGAAGACCGACTGTGTGTGTGCACAAACGCAGGGACCGTTTACGAACAGGGGCGTACCAAGCATCGGTGAAGGGACCAAATATCGGTCGCTTTGCCGCTTCATTGGTACACACTGTGAGTTGCTGTTGTTGTAGATAGCCTATTATTTCACGAAAGAAACCCAGCTGTGATAGTACTACTACCGTAGAAACGAAGCGTTAGGTAGGGTTGGTTGGTTGTGGCATGAAAGTTGTACCAACGCCCGGGGGGTCGAACAATTCGTTTTGTGCCACAAAAAAACAATAAAAATTGGGAGGGGGTATCCTTGCGATCGTAGTGTGTCCAAGTACCAGAAAAAAACTACATTACGACGACTGCCGCCGACAAAAATTAAAAACGTTGCGCGGCCGGGCGACGTTTTGGGGCGGCACTTGCCATGTACAGTAAGCCATAGGAACTTCTACAGTAGTCTGGCCGAGGCTATGGGGTTCGAAGTTCCTAGGGTTATTCTGCGAATGAATGGGGGCCGCAGGGTTTTACAACTTAAGGGTTCTTAACCGAGCTCACAACTGGTGTTGACTAGTTGCATAAGTTTGTTAATAGATTTATCAGTATTTCGAGGCTATATTTCAAGTTTTTTAGTGCCAAGTTTAAAGAAGAAGAGTGCGGGCGCTAGCTGCACTCCAGTATCCGACGGGTTTGTTAGGCGAAACGGTTCCTGGGCCAAGCTATGTAGTTTTTTGTGTTTTTGTGTTCTGTCCAAGTAGGACAATGAGATTGCATCGTTTTCTGAAGTACAACGAAGCGGGATATAGGAATTTAGTTCAAGACCGTGGGTGACGTCATCGGTAGACCACGGATTTTTCGACCAAAGGAAATTTCCTTTCAAAAACGTTGACCAATCAGAAAACTGCGGGCACCATTTATCTCTCTGTGGCATAGTAGTAACTGAAGACCGCCAGGCCCTGCCTGAATCCCGGAACAGCTGTCTATTGTGATTGATAATATCATAGCCCTGGGGTTAGCCCCCGACCTCTTTAGTTCTCCGCTTCGTTCGCCATGCCGAGCAAGCAAGCACAAGCAGCTCGACACGCAGGCATAAAGAACATCACATTGGAGAATATTTCGCTTATTATTCCGTTTGCCATCGCAACATATGGAGAAGGAAAGGTTGGGGGACCTAGAAGACAGGAGTGCATCCATGACGACAGCGGGCGAGGTTTGCGCGTCCCTCTGTCCCGCAAGGCCAGCCACGCATCGGACGCTGGGTGTAAGGACGCGGCCTGGCACTGCCGCCATTCGTCGTGGTTGATGTAGCCCGGGGGTATAGACCCGGCCTCAGCTGGCGCCCTCTTCCCTTTTTATGCCAGGGGCTTCATCAGGAAGCCCGGCGCTCTCACGAGAGAGGTCCCAAAATACCAGATGACCAATCACCCTGCTGTGGGTCTAGCTCCGCCCGCACGATGCCTTTCCATGTCATGTTCAAGGACAGAGAGAAATTATGTGGTCGATACAGATATCGGACTCGTTCATCAATAAGGGGCGAGAGCTGCTTTTACGAACAGTTCCTCCTGCAAATCGCCGCACGCAGTGGTATATCGCATGCGACTGACTCGGGGTCGGAACCTGTTGGGCTGAAAACTTAACTCAATATTTTCTTCCGACGATTGTCCTTTAGTCCTGAAAGAGAAAAAAGTGAATCCGCTGGTGAAGAGAAAACCACTACGCATGCAATAGAGTACAAAAAAGAAAGAGGCGGGCGGCCGATCAAACGGCGTGGACGCAAGCAAGCCTGGTTCGGGCGACAGATCCAAGCGACACCAGCAGTTAGTTGCCAACTGGGATAATAGCCAAGAAGAAACCGCCCCCTAGGATACAGATAAAGGCGACATGCTCGGAGTGAAGAAAAAACAGCAAAACAAAAACAGACCTCGCCGACGCTTGGTGGCAAGGACGCCCAGCAGTGAGAAATCACGGCGTAAACAACGCTAACCTTCCTGCAAACACAACCCAGCCAGCGCAGCGAAACATAGAACGCCGATGTAGCGCCAGCAACAACACGCTAACGCCCGTCGATCCATCTCCAAGCAAGGAGTGAATAATCAGGTGCTCCGAACACGAGCACGCCGTGAGGGTGGAGAAAAAAGCAAGCGCTTCAAACGCGCCGCGTCAAAAACGGAAGCCACTTTTTTTACTCGGAACTGGATCATCGGGCCATGAGCTGGAACGGCAAGCACCACGCCGAACGCGAGGAGGAACATCATGCAGGAGAACCAAACCAACGAAATAGACGAAGCAACGACGAGAACAGAACAAATTCGACACGATTTTCGTCCATCCACGTCTCATCACTAGGAACACAAACGTGAAATCAAAATCGAGCAAAAAACATTCCGATCTCGTCGGAATTTTCAGCGGCCGAACACGTCGCGGCGCACACGCCGAATAGTTCTACGCGTAGACCACAAGACGGCAGGTGAAATCTGTGGGATACGCCGCGAGGAGAGACTAAAACGCGACCACACATTGATGCCATCCAAATTATCGTCCCGTCTTAAAAAGCAACACGGTCCCGGAAAAAAAAATCGGCGTCTGATTCACGCCTCCAATAACACTGCTTGGCGGAAAAGGATGTTGGCGCTGCACGGAAATCATGCGTATAGGCCCTCGATGATGTCGGCGTATTTTTCGGAGGCCGGGCCGCGCTTGAGCTTCAAGGTAGGTGTGAGCTCGCCACCTGAAAGATAGCATGAAGAAAGACAAACGTCAGGTTGAGAGAACCATTGGAGTATGGATCATGAGAAAAGTAGCGCGCACGCATTGATGCCGCCAAACAATACCACTGTGACTACGAGATCCGACATGCGGAAACGAAAAAAAGTAGCACCAGCTTGCTTTCACTTCGCTTTATTTCACGCTCTTCATTCCACTCTCGCTCACCTTCTACAGAGAAGTCGTGGGGGAGGAAGGCCCACTTGGCCACCCTCTGCGCATTGGACGTCGTGCGAGCGTTGCAAGCCTTCATGGCCTTGTCGATGTACTCCGTCCACTGGGGGCGAGGCAAAAAGAAATGAAGCCAAACGCGGAGGACAAAATCAGCGGTCCTTCATCCATGGGTTCCCTCAACAGCGCTGCCGACGTCCGGAATACTCTGCGTCAAAGGGCGGGGCATGCCCCCCGCAACCAACGCAAGAATTTTGCGTTTTCTCCTTCCTGCATCATCACGTGTACCACAAGTTTTACCGATCTCTCACGTCCCCTTCCTCTATGACAACCGTGGGAATACAACCATTGCCGCACGCAAGACGGCACAGACAGATGTCTTCTCAAACCAAACAAGTCGGGACGTACAGGGGGCTCGACGAATCGAATACCCGCAACAGGAGAGGGGGATACGATTCTCATCCACCAGACAAAGCCGTCCACAATACAGCCAAAGGAAGGAGTCTTACTGTATGCGCCAACATCTGGTCTCAAGCATCATCGTCACACCTTGGTGTCTGCCTTGGCCCCCTCGATGGTGATGGCCGCGCTGCCGATCTTCTCGCACGCCGTCAGGCTGTCTCCCGCCAGCTTCGACGTCGGGGTGCCGTCCTCGGCCACCTGTCGTTCGTTTTGGGTTACACTTGTTGGTTAATTTTTGAGATATTTCATCCTGATTTTATCAAAATACTTTTTATTTATCGATCTCCTTCTTGGCGTGGCGGCAGTGATGTGTTTACTTTTTTGGTGATATTCTCTTCCTGATTTTTATCAAAATACTGTTTGATGATCGATCGCCTTCTTGGCGTGGCGGCACTGATGTGTTTACTTTTTTTGTGACATTTTCTTCCTGATTTTAAACAAAATACTGTTTGTTGATCGATCGCCTTCTTGGCGTGGCGGCGGTGAGGGGGGGGGGGACATCCGCCTCCGTAACTTGGAGTCGAAATCTTCGTACATACGTATCATACCACCAAAAATCGCAGCTGGGCTCCTGTGCCGTGCAGCCATACTCAGTAGTGTTGTGCTGTGGCCTGCCCTCGGTTGCATGACGGAAGATATCACACAACTCCGTTGGACCGATTATCAACGCTGGGTTAACTCCAAGATTATGTACTGTAAAAATTTATGAATTAAACGATCGACACGTTTTCGGACAGCGTTTGACGAGACGATGCCGACATTTTCGGCAACGTCGCTATATTCTTGGGGGAGAAATCAAGCGTTGGCTACAAGTCCACGTGGGTCGCATACCCACAGGAGTGAGTGGCTTCAGGACAACCTTAACTGCTGTGGGAGAAATCAACCGCACCCCCGGCCAGACCGGCTTTCTCTCATAGTTCGCTTGGTCCACAACCAAGAGGTTACCAAGACTGTTTGTTGCAACACCACTCCAACTTGGATCATGGTAAGTGCTGGATTTAGAGTATCCCTCCAGCTCCAAAGCCGGAGTTCCCACCCATGTTTACACCCCTGTCGTCTACCACCTTTTCTCATCGGCCACTACTTGGTCCGGGAGCATGGTTCAGTCTCCCAAACTTGCGTGTTGTCAGCACCGGGGTTAGCGTCACCTACGGTGGAAACGCCGCAAAGTCGTCCGTCTCAAAACACCGCCTGTCGAAGAACCATTGGCCTAGATACTTCGGTCTCGAAACACCGTCTGTTATAGGCGTCGGTGGTAGCCCGGGAGTTGGCCCGTTCGCGTTCGTTTGGACGACGGTTCGCCTCCCCACGGAAACTGGATGCAGGTGTCTTGCCGCGGAGACACACTAAAACTTGAATACAGCAAAAGAACCCCAAGATAATCAATCACGACTGCAACTGCAACCTCGAAGAGGCATATCAACATCAACACTGAATGTAGACAAGTCCTCCGTGCTGGGTGATTATCGTATATCGTTCCTACAATACTAAACAAAACCGGGTGTAAACGGAAACAATTAGAGAGATGAAAGCAAGGCCACAAAACGCTACGCCACGGACGCCGTCGCGTTTGGCGCGCTCGGCCTGAGGTTCGCAGGCCTTTCTGGCATCTCTCCGAGTTTTTCCCTTTCTACCCGGCTTTCTCGCCGCAGGAAAGAAACGACGAATGATGCCCAGCAAGGAGGACAATTCTCTCAGTGTAAATGTTGACCTCTTGAGGTTTTAGCTGCAAAAAACAGCCGTGATTGATGATCTTTGTGGTGCTTTTGCTTTGATTTCAGCTCTGTGCAAATTTCGGCGTGTGATATCCATCGAGGCAAACGCCTCATCCGAATCCGTGCCGAATTTGGATTCGTTTGGGGACCCTATTTTCCGGCGGATGGGTCTAATGAAAGCTCTCGACCACATTTTCCCAAAAACAGTCTTTCCCGCAGCCCCGGCAGAGCGTCCCTCGCGGCTGTGACGCAATCGAGCTCCCAAAGCCAGGCGGCCTAGGCGGGGGGGGGGGGGGGGGATCACTCCCACGACCACGTTACTGTAGGGTGGGTGGGCGAAACTACTGGCAAACATTAGATGAGTAGGGTACTTTTAGGGCTAGGGCTAGGGCTAGCATATCACCTGTAGTTACACCTCACCACCTCGTGGGACAAAGTGTCCATCCCGGCGTGGGAGGCGACAAAAAAAAATAAGGTGGGCACTAGCAGTGGGGTCAGGGATAAATGTATAGGGCAAAGGAAGGGGTCAGGGATAGATGTATAGGGCAAAGGAAGGGTCAGGGATAGATGTTTGGGCAAAGGAAGGGTCAGGGATAAATGTAAAGGGCAAAGGAAGGGTCAGGGATGAATGTATAGGGCAAAGGAAGGGTCAGGGATAAATGTACAGGGCAAAGGAAGGGTCAGGGATAAATGAATAGAGCAAAGGAAGGGTCAGGGATAAATGTACAGGGCAAAGGAAGGGTCAGGGATAAATGACTAGGGCAAAGGAAGGGTCAGGGGTTCGGTGTAGGCTGTTTGGGTCAGTATTGTACAGCATCTCATCTCACCTCGGATCTGAGCGCGATGAGGATGGTGAGGAACTTCCTCTTGTCCCCGATGACCATGCAGTTGGCGATGCACGGAAGCTCGGTCTTGAATTCGTTCTGCGAACGGTGACGGAAAGCCACACAACAAGACAACGAGACATGAGACAGACACACAAACACAGAGAGA